CTGTTTGCTGCTCTACTCTCTAACAACAGAAATTCTTAGATGTCTCTCTCCTTTGCAAGATAAACTTGGTTTTTTAAAAAAAATTGATACTCACATAAGGCTTCTAACAATAAATGTACTTTTTTGTATTTCTAGTCATTTCCTTTCATGACTCCAGCATCGACGACAACCACAAATTTGACTCCATTTGGTGTTGGTAATAATACGACAACAGTAAGAACTTGGATATCTTTTTCTCCTTTAGAAGATATATATTTTCCCTGTTTTCATTAGACACCATTGTTTGAAAATACTACACTACAAACAACGCCTACGTTTGGGTTCGGTTCATCTACAGCACCTCTGTCAACGTTCGGTGCAATACCAACAACATCGACGCCGTCATTCAATGTTGGTAGGTGATGTGATGAGTCACATTCTTTGATGACATCACTTTTCATACCGAAAGAGAAAAGAAAGAAAATATTGTGTCATTGGGAAATAAACTTTAGGTACGACAAGTTTGTTTAGTAATAATACATCAACAGCACCGTCAACAGCTGCATTTACCTTTTCAACATCCAAAGCTCCATCGAATACATTTACATTTAATAGTGGATCATCGTCAACTCAACCAACGTCAAGTCTATTTGGACAACCAACAGCATGTAAGTTCGATTAACACTACTTTATTTTCACTCGCAATATTTCTGATTTCTAATATTTAGCTAACATTTTTTCTCAGCAACAATCAACTGTACCATCGATATTTTCCACAACTTCAGCGCCATCCACTAATTTATTATTTTCGTCACAACCACAACAACAGATTACTGCATCACCGTATATGATGCAACAACAAACACCATCACAGACCCGAACACAAATTCAGTTATTTCATACAATGCTTAATGTACAACCATTCAATAACGAACTTAATTTTCTTGCAAAAACGATCAAAGTTAGTACTAAACTGTTTTTATACTTTAGTAGATCAGCAACAGGCTTAGATTTGAGGTGTTTTACTGATTTCCTCATCTTATATGCTGAAGATTTCGCGTAAAAAACCGTCATGCTGACCACCTATTATATGTGTATTTCTTTCTTTTTAGCCGAGCAGCAATTTCGAGCGTAATCGGATTCGTACGGCACCTGAACAACAACAATCTCAGCAACATTCATCTTTATTCTCATTATTGCTCAAACCAAATTCAACAGTTACTCCTCATAATAGTACTAATAGTAACAATACCACGTTTAATGGGCTATCAGCGACTCCTCTTAATAGTAATTCTAATTTGACATTTACAATCAGTCAAAAACGTAAATTAGGTGATACATTTTTGGATGAAATGGACGATGATATTACACTCAAAGCCAATAATTTATTAACAACACCTAAACGTTCTCGTATGTTGGATATGGATAGGATTCGGACAGCTGTACTTGGTGACGGTAATATGAGTCAAGAACAACGATCTGTACCAGCAACAAACGGATATCATTCGAATATCGAGCATACAATGAGAACCAATAATAATAAAAGTAATGGATTTGATTTTAGTAATTCATTCAATACGACACATTCATCACCTCTGCCATTATCGATGGGATGGAAAAAATTTGACACATACGATGATTATATGGCCTCAAAGCAAGAGCAACTACCACACACAAATGGCCATCATCATCATTCTCCGCAGAGGCTGAATGAAGAAGAAATCATTACAAATGGAGATGGTGATCATCATAACGGTACTATGAAAAATGGAGAAGATGATAGAGAAGGAAGAAGACAACAGCTTACTATTATTTCTACGAGACCAGATTATACATACGAATCACTAACTAATGAATATGCGTATGACAACAAACATGAACATTACCGTATTAAAAATTTAAAAATAACAAGACAAAATTATGGTTCGATTGAATTTCCTGGTTGGACAGATGTTACACAATTGAATCTAGATGAAACAGGTAAATATCAATGTACATCACATTATAAATTGAACCATATTGTTCAAAAAGAAAAGCTCGTAGATACTTTTTCGAATCCTCTAGCTAAATAAATTGTTCTTTGTGAAACTTCCCTTGAAGCGACAATTAGCTAAATCAAACTTAAATTTACAATTTTCATGCTATAGTGTGCATATGCCATTTTTCATATTTTTATTTTTATTTAGTAAGCATTGGTTGGAAAGAAATTTGTGTCTATCCCAATGAAGATAATAAACCTGCAATTGGAATGGGTTTAAATAAAGAAGCTATTATAATGTTATGTCGTGTTTATCCATCCTACGGTCAACGTTCTACTAACGATACGGGGAATCAATTAATAACAGATCCCGATAAACTATTGTCAATCGATTATCCAGCAGTCATCAAAGAACAAACAAAGAAAATGAATGTTAAATTTATCGATTATGATATCTATTCAGGAATATGGACATTTCAAGTGAGTGATCAAAAAACATATCTAGTTATCTTATTCATTTATTACCATGCTCTCTTTTCTCGTATTTTAGGTGCCACATTTCTGAAAAAAGCCGAATCCCAAACGCAGTTGTTATTGTTATTTTTTTGTTTTTGTTATGTTATTGTTGTTAATAAATGTCGATTTCCGACAATTAGTTCTATGTACACTTTCTTTCGTCTGTCTCCATTTTCTTGTATATCAAATAAAAAAATCTATTTTTTTGTGTTTATTATTTGGTCTCTTGGCCTGTGGTCAAACCAAAACTGTATAGGACAATTCCAATCATTTCTTTTATTTTATATCCACGATATATACTTTTAAAACGGTGTTATAGGAAATATTAGAAAAACAAAAAAAAAAAAACAAACAAAGAGGAATTTTTTTACTCTTCTTCTTTATTCTGTTTTTTTGTCATCACAGTGAATAACATTCTGTTTCTTAAGATTTTTCTACTGTCTATTTTTTTCTCTGTTGGCCTTTATTGTATGACATAATTCTTTATTCATGCTCTTCGTTAAGTCTGGTTCATCTGTGTGCATATAATGATGTTGATAAAAGAAGGACGCGCATGACACTTTCGTGTTTTTGTTTGTCATTCATCTGTTTCTTCAAAAAAGAGATATCGACAACAAAAAAATATAGACAATAAATCGACTCAAAAACCGGATCAATACAACAATTATGAAGAAAAGTAATGGTTGGCACACTACACTTAATACATATTTTAAAAGTGTCGTGTCAATGTCAGATTGACTTCGAATATCAAAATATAGATTCACCTGATCTTCAGCGAAATCACTAACTAGATCTCTTGTTAGACTAGCATATGAAAACAATGTTCTTCATCAAAATTATTCTTAGCCTGGGCATCGCGAGAATGTGGAAATTAGGAGAAATAAATAAAAAACAAAAAAATTTTCTCTTAAATATAAAATTTAAAAAAAGCTATCATTCATTGCATTTTATTCTGAAAACTACGTTATTAAAAGAAAAAGTTTAATCATTACGAGTGTTCAAAAAACAAAAGATTTTTAGAAACTAATGGCAAAAATTACAATCATTATTAGAGGGTCTCCCTATCCCCAGAAAAAACGTCCCTGCTTGGATGGTGATTAAAATTTTAGAAGGCTTAAAATACTTTAAACGATGATGATCGATGACGTCGCTCTCTAACCGTACGAGTGTCGCGAAATGTTTGTAGGAATCTTTCAGTTATCAATTAAAAGTAAAACAATTCTATATACTATCCTAAGTCGTAATGCAATTGAAACGCAAAGAGATGATACCGTTAATTCCAATGGTTAGTTTTTGTCCAATAACAAATAATCGAAACAATCAACAGAGCTGCTAGGTAGTTGAACGAGTGTACGCAACCGATTATATTAAGAAAATAATACTGCAGTTAGTACTTGCTTTTAGAAAATGTATTTTTCGAAAATCTAAGTTCAAATTTAACTACCACAAGGTCTAGAGAGTATGGGGTTCTTAATCCTTCTACTATTTGGATTTTCGCTCTATTATTTTCATGTTGAGCGTTTTTGAATGTAGCGTTTCTCTATATCTCCTATTAGCCAGTTTTGACATATGTTACAAGATTTTTCTAAAACGAAACGATGTCGCTTGTAATGAGTCTATTCTTGACTAAAGGAATATATTTGTTTTTAGAATTAATATAGAGAAATGACTGCACCTGGACTGAATATTGTTGATCCATTTTTACAAAAACCGTCAATTACTAGAACACGAAAAAAGCGTTTACAAGAATCAGCTCGTTTTGGATACAAAATATCTAAAGAATTAGAAGCATTACCATCATTAAAAGGTATTTCTTAATTTTTTTGTCGCTAGTCTTATCTTCATTCTCTTTGTATCTTTTCTTTTTAGAAACACTGTCTGATCAACAAGAAAAACTTTTTATTCAAAAATTAAAACAGTGTTGTGTTATATTTGATTTTTGTGATGCAGTGGGCGATTTAAAAAGTAAAGAAATAAAACGAGCTTCATTAAACGAATTGGTTGACTATATTACGGTAACCCGAAATTGTATAACAGAACAAGTTTATCCTGAAATAGTTAATATGGTACGAAGAAGATAATCTCTAAAATTGAATTAGAAATTTAATATAGTTATTTTTCTTTCTATTAACAGATTTCTATTAATTTATTCCGAGTATTGCCGCCAATCAATGACGGTGTATCAGACACGGATGTTGCTGAAGAAGATGAACCGACTCTGGAAGCATCATGGCCACACGCACAAGTAAGTGAAAGAATATGGATGATCTAGAATATATCATAAAATATATTTTATTTGTTGTCTTTTAAGATTGTCTATGAATTTTTTCTACGGTTTCTTGAGTCTCTTGATTTTCAACCAAATATTGCCAAAAAGTATATTGATCAAAAATTTGTATTACAAGTAAGTTAAATTATTTCTTTTTTCTACTTGTATATCAACATTGTTTAAGGTGTTTTTTTATTGTAGATACTTGAACTATTTGATAGCGAGGATCCACGTGAACGTGATTTTTTAAAAACAATTCTTCATCGTATCTATGGAAAATTCCTTGGCTTAAGAGCATTTATACGCAAACAAATTAATAATATATTTCTTAGGTATACATACGATATATACTTTTGCTTGCATTAATAGTAAAATCAAGAATAGTTTAGAACTAACTAATGAAAATAAACTAAAAAAATCTTCTAATTTATTGTGTTGTTGTATCTTATCTTATAACTTTAATTTTTCTTTCTGTAGGTATATTTATGAATTTGAAAGATTTAATGGCGTAGCTGAACTACTTGAAATTCTTGGCAGGTAATATTAATTTATGTGTATTCCGTTATTTGATATTCATGTTTGTTTTCACATTTCAGTATTATTAATGGATTTGCAGTACCTCTTAAAGATGAACATAAACATTTTTTGATCAAAGTATTAGTGCCGTTACATAAATCTCATAATCTTCAGTTTTTTCATCCACAGGTAATTTTCATTGTGTTTTCTCAACTATAAAAGTGTCTTGCTCTCATGAGAACTACAGTATGATTATTGCTTTTGTTTGTTATATTCGATAAAAAAAGCTACATTGTACGATAAGAGTTAAAGAAAGATCAATCTATATCAACTTATCACTAGTTTAAAGAATGTTTTTATTCATTTTAGTTAGCGTATTGTGTTGTACAGTTTATTGAAAAAGATTTATCTTTAAGTGAACCAATTATACGAGGTATGTTTTTAAAGTTGAGTACTGTTAAAATATTCTATGACAGGCGGTTTTTATAGTAAAAATTCACTACTTTCTTGTTACAATAGAATGACAAGCAATTATTACCTTCTTTTCTCTTTTAAAGGCTTGTTAAAATTTTGGCCAAAGACGTGTAGTACAAAAGAAGTAAACGAGCAATAAACTCTATATTTAGTCCTTTAACAAGAATTCTTTTTTTTTCTAGGTTTTATTTTTGAATGAATTAGAAGAAATTTTAGATATAATCGATCCACAAGAATTTAAAAAGATTATTGGACCATTATTTAGACAGATATCACGATCTGCAGCTAGTTCACATTTTCAAGTGAGTTACTGTGTAAGATATGAGACAAAATAATGCGAAGATAATATCTATGTATTCTCTAGGTGGCTGAACGTTCATTAGCATTTTGGCATAATGAATATGTTATACAATTAGTCGAAGATAATTTAGAACAAATTCTACCAATTATTGTAAGTATGCAAGTAGACGCACACTACTAAATAAAATATTTAATCTAATTTAATTTGATACTATTTTTAGCTACCAAACTTATGTCGAATATCAAAAACCCATTGGAATGCAAATATTGTTCAACTCGTTTATAATGTGTTAAAATCATTTATGGATCTTAACAATAAATTGTACGTTATTCTTGTCTGCATCTAATATTTTCAACACTATATATTGGTTTTATTTTACTATTTAGATGTAATGATATATTGAACAGTCTGAAAAACGATGAACAAAAGTAAATATATCTACATTTCTATAATAATAGAGTAACTATAAACTGTAAGTTGTTTTAAAAAAAATGTGCGAGTAATCAATTGTAAAATGATGTTTCGAAATAGTTAGTTAAACAATTTTTTTTCCCCATTATTTTAGACTAGCAGAAAAAGAACAAGCACATAGTGCCTTATGGCAACGATTAGAAGAATTAAATATTAATAAACAACATGATATTGAATGAATGAATAAATGAATATCATGCAGTTTCTCTTGTTTTCTTCAACTTGTTTATTTTTTTCAAAATTCATTTTGAAATATGTGAAAAAAATTATAATAAGTGTAATTTTTTTCTATTTTTCTTTGTGTCTTAAAGTCTGTTTTATTGCATAAACTAAGATCATCGAATATGTATTATTTTTTCACCTTTTTAAAACTCTTCTACATTAGACAATACTTCTACTTTTTCTTGTATTTGTTATGTATCTATCTATTTTTTCCTCCCCCCTCCTCGATTTTCTGTCTGAGGTAATCTGATCTTTCTGTTGCCGTCCATATTATAACATCTTTTGTAGTTTCTTCAGTATTTCCTTCGATGAAATTGATTTTGTCGTTGTATAATCCTTGAACTTTTATTTCATTTCGGTCTGTTGTTTTCCCTGACTTTATCGATTTCGATTCTTTTTCTTATTTTAAATTTCTCTCCCTCTCTCTCTCTCTCTCGTCCAAGACGAACGCGTATAGTGAAACTGTTTTTCTTCTGATAAAATGCAGAGCAATTATTGATCAAGATACATAACATGTTAATCTGTTTTTGTTATTGCTGTATGCAACTGACACTTGTTTAGACAAATATTCATATGTCAACACATACACACACACATATGTATATATAGATATTTGATGAATTTTTCATACGTGTGTTTTTCATTTTCTAAAATCTTTTGAACGAACAAAAAAAAAAATATTTTCGATTTGTTCTATGAACGTTGAAACAATGTACCAACGCTGTATTATCTAAATAAAAATTATCTTAAATATCAAAATAACTGAGACAACGAAATGTCAAGATCCATAAAAGTAGCGAGTAAAATAGATTCAATTATTAATAAAAGAATATATGTTCGAAAATCTTAGATATGTGTTAAGCTTTTACGATAAAATTTGAAACTATTTAGACTTTTTTGAATACAAGTTTCTTAGAAGAAACAAAAGAAAAACATTTTGAACATGAAAAACACTTTTTAAAATCATATTCTTTTCGTTATTCGTATTTGTTTATTTATGATCAAATATGACGAATATCAAATAGAATTTAATTATTCAATAAATAACAATATAAAAAATCGTTTGAACTTTAATCCTATTCAGAATATGATGTATCGTACTAAAGCATCCAAATGATTAAAAATTGTTTATAAGCAATAATATGTTCTAATGTGTGTTAACAAACACGAGTATAGAAATTATCAATCAATGATAAAAACTAAAATGAAAATGAATGAACATGTTCCATTCCACGTAGATATGACTAGAGCTATAAACAAATAAAATCATTGCATGAGTATATGTAAAGAAAAAAATTGTTTATATTTTTTTATATCTATAGAATATACCATTGGCAACCATATTATTCATTTTATTTATGAAATATAACTACAAATTCGATATTTCTACTGAAGAAATCAATGTTGCTCTCTATTCAGTTATTGGTTCATTTGATAATGACTTGGAACATAATTCATTTAACTTTAACCCTTTACTTGCGCGTGGACGTTATTGAACATCGTAGAATAATCGTGCTATAACATGATAATGATGTGTCACATAAAAAAACGGATTCTTTTCTATTGTAAGTTGCCACTATAAACTAGCGATTACTATTAAGAAAATATTTTTTATCAACACTAGACAAAAATATTATACGAGTTTTCAGTTCGCTTTGCATGATTTGCTGTCGGTGGTAAGGGGTTAAGAAAGAAAAGGATACATTTGATATTGCTATTTAATAAATTTATGTTTGTGGACATAGAATTAATCAATACACGAGTTATAATATATCTATGACATTACTATTTTCAAATACTTGAATTAATATGAATAAAAAATATGTTTGTACGTATGATACTGTTAATTTATTAATGAACTCTAAATAAAATAATTTAATTGATTTGAACAATTTTTGAAAAAGTAACATGGTTCGATCAAATTAAAGAAAATAATTATTAAACATCATGTAATCAAATCGTGTTGATAAATAAAACATGATGAAAAAGAAACAGAATTTAGTATAACAATGAAACATCATTCTTATAATTACTCTGTTTCATAGAGACTACTTTTCCATGTATTACTTGTACTTTTCTTCCGTTTATTTATTTCAAAATTTTGAAAATAAATTTGTAAAAGTTTTATTCAACAGTATTAAAGCGTCGTTTTTCTTATCTTGTGTATTTACAATGTTGAATCTAAAGTTAGAATGTAACATACGATGATAACGTCAGAATGAGTAATAATAATACGTCTATATTTGTATAATAATTTGCACTATTTGGTAGTTTGGTTGTAAATATATCAACTATTTCTTCATATATTTGTGACACTGAATTTGAGCAGACTGTTTTGTTTCCGTCCTCAATATTACATGCTTCCAATAAAAATGTGTATTTTTTATTCGGTACAATTGGCGATATTTCGTATGACAATGGGGCATCTGATAAAATTTTGTGCTTTTCATTATTTACTGTAACATAGTAATGGTCAATTGGTCCATTTGGAGTTGCTGGTTTCTCCCATGTAAATAGTAGTATCCCATTTTCTGATTTAAATTGAATATTTTGTGGCTCAGATGGTACACCAACAAGGGTTTTTATTGAAATACTCCTTATATCACTTGAACTTCCTTGACTACAATTCGCTGTAAATGTATAATTTGTATAACCAGCTAAATTATGGTATTCAATTGCGCCAGAACTTGTTGTCTCTATTAGTGTTAGATTAATCAAATTCCAGTCCATTAAGTCATCTCTGGTAACAAGACAACGACAATCTTCAGCACAATCACTTGCAGTCACGTTGAAACGAACGCCAGAACTGGATATTGTTGAAAAGTTGCCCAGTATATTTCCTGGATTACCGACATAATAATCAAATCTTATGATATTTACTGCATTCATTAATACGATTAGACATAATAATATGAAAATACAGAATAATGATTTTTCCTTCATTTAATTTGGTAATGTATTTACTGATTGTATGTGTTTGTCAGACAATCTAAACTAAAGAATTATAATGAAATTATGGTCGTGAAGTTGACTCATAAGATAATTTTATCATTCGAACAAAAAAATCTAAAGCATTGAAAAAAACATTAAAACGCATTCCAACGTATTTGTTAAAATTTTTTCAGTGGATTTAAATGAGTTTAAGTTTTTTTCCCGAATGCTTGTGTTTAAATAATAAAATTATCTCATAGAATATGGATTGACACATACTCTCTTATTTTTATTTTTATTCATTCCTTATCAAAGTTTTTACTAATAGTGACAATCATCAATTGTTATTTCTGGAATAATGCGCGAAGGTGTGAATAGATAAAGTCAACAAAACATTTTGCAATGTGTACGTATATATAAAATGGATACGTATCAAAAATATTGAAAGCTCATAATATTTCTACTTGAATGTGTCTTCGAAACGACAAATATTTTTTTATTTTACGAGAATTTTCTTTCGCATTAGAATAATTATATAAGATAATATAAACGACAGAATGAATAGTTTGCTTTTAGTTTCACAATATCCGGAGTATAGTAGTTGACATTGTACAACAAAAATATCTGCATAGTAATGATATTATACTGTTGTAATATACTCTACGTTTAATGATGTGTGGATTATTGTGACAGTTTCACGCTGCCCAGACATATGGATTTGACAAACATCGGAATAAAATCATTGTTAGTGATTTTATTGATAATTAAAGCACTGTTTTGTTTGCCATTTTTTAAGTGATATACCGAAAGATAAATGTCATAAATAATAAAAGTAATAAATATAACTACAAATTGGCACTTGCTTCCAAATACTTTGTAGATGCACTTTTACGACAAAGCCAATTAAAAACTTATGTAAAAAAATTCATGTCGGTTTACTTGATCATGTACATTTAAATAACCTATGTCTCATTTTTGATATTTCTTTTTGTGCTTTAATTGGACTTTATTGAACAAATTATATCATCATTGGATTTAGTTTGTGTCGTTCAGTTATAATTCATATTTCCTCCATTTATTTGAACGTTTATATTTTGTACTTTCTGATCGTGTATTAAAATTGGTTAAGTTCTGAGTTTTAGTAACGCGACTATGCCATTATTTGAGGTAAAGCTATGGCTTATAGCTGTTAAAACATTGAACATTAGTTGTCTTTAATATGTATTAGAATGAATGAATTATTTCACCCCTGACATAACCAGATTCACTCAAAATGCATTTTTGTCATATTAACAACACATTAAAGTCTTTTATCAGTATATATTTTTTTTGTTACAAAAATTTGAGGTGATGCAGTGGAACAAGTATATCAAAGATATCTTCTTTGAGAGCGCCGAGATTCGACACAGTGTTTTTAAAATATGTGATAAACAGAATAACCATCAAATTATTCAGTCCAAGATCCGATTCTATCACCTAATGGAATCATCAAAACTAAATCAGTATCTGCAGATGATATACTTAGCATGTTTCTGAAGGCAAAGCTACGCATAAACCCTTTTTGCATCTAATGTGGTAAATAAACACAAAAGTCCACAGTGTCCATCAGACATTCATACAAATTTGAGCTCTTATCTACTTAGGGCAATCCAAAAGTAGTGAGGGAGGTACTTTATTTTCTTAAGGAGCGCTTCAAAAACATTTCTCGTTTAATGAACAGATAGAGCGTCTTTCGCTCTATTTTTCTATGCTATTTGATCAATATTCAACTAATATTATAATAATAAAATTTCGATAAGATCTGTTTCTTTCGCATATGTGCTGGTAGCATGAATGCTCGTAAGTACTT